TACTCCATTGTGTGTATGTACCATAGTTGGTTTATCCATTCATCTGTTGATGGGCATCTAGGTTGTTTCCATCGTTGTGCTATTGTGAACAATGCTGCCGTGAACATAGGTGTGCATATGTCTACTCGAGTGACGACTCTTATTTCTTTCGGATATATTCCTAGGAGTGGGATTGCTGGATCGAATGATATGTCTACTCCTACCTTTCTGAGGAAGCGCCATATCATTTTCCAAAATGGTTGTATCATTTTGCATTCCCACCAGCAGTGCATAAGAGATCTCCCCACAGGTTCTCCAACATTTGTTATTTCCAGTTTTTTTGACTCGTCCCAGCAATGCCAGGGTGAGATGGTATCTCATTGTAGTTCTGATTTGCATTTCTCTAATGGCTAGTGATCGCGAGCATTTCCTCATGTGTCTGTTGGCTGCTTGAATGTCTTCTTTTGTGCTAATTTTTTTTTTTTACAACAACACGTGGAAGAGGATTGGCATGATGGCGCTTCTAAGGATGCCTCGTGGGGGGAGGGCATGACCAGCAAACAAATGAAGAAGATGCATGTTATTTGCATAAAAATACAGTATTTGTGAAATATATCGGTAACAGTACCAGTTGCTATCGAGTTGATTCCAACTCATGGCAATCCAATGTGGGTCAAAGTAGAACCATTCTGTACTCCGGCTTAGATTAATTTAAGATGATTACCTACTCAGTGCATTCTACAATGTAGGCTATCAAGACACTCATCAAATAAAACTAATTTTTTTAAACCCTTATAAAAATTATACTGGGAAATTTAGGCCTGACTTTATTTCCATCACCAGAAAAATAAATTTGAATGAGAAATATCTTCTTAACAAAGCCCAGCTAATTGGACAATTTTTTATAAATTAGTTAAAAAGAGATTTATCTGTTTCCTCACAGCAACTAACTGGATCTTCCCTTTAACCTCAACTTTAGTGAGAATATGTAAAAAATTTTTTGGTGAGGTTGGTTTGTTAATTAAACAATTTAGTCTTTTAATTCCGTAGAACTCTTTAAATGTGCAAAGGCAAGACTTGAATGTATTTAAAGGATTCCAAGAATTGAAGCTTATAGTTTAACACATTCACTTACTTTTATTAGAACGGCTCAAGCGCAGCCACCACTTGTCTGTTAGTGGAGGCTTGCGTGTTCCTGTGATGCTGAATAGGTTCCAGCAGGAGCTTCCAGACTTAGACTAGGAAAAAAGGCCTGGTGATTTACTTCTGAAAAATCAGCCAATGAAAACTCTATGGATCACAGTGGTCTGATCCTGATGTGCATGGGGTCACTGTGAGTTACAGGCTGACTCAAGGGCAGCTAACAACAACCAACAATACACTACTATTTCAGGTCACTTATAAAAGCTTTCATTCTATAAATAAGTTCATATATTAGCATTTTTTCCTAACTGAACATAGTGATAAATGTTAAATTTCTTGGAGTTTTATTACGGAAATACACATGTAAAAACAATAAAAGGAAACATGCTCTAAAAATGATCAGTCTTATCTTCAGCAAAGCATTATTTTTTTATTAATAACACATTTTTTTCATTAAGTAATAACCTATAGGAAATATTCAGAATATTATCAATGTATACCTCCAACTCTTACTACAAAGGATCTAAGAAGCTTTATTCCCTAGTATCATTTAAAAAAAAAACATTAAAAATAGAGATCCCACTTTAGTTACTTTAGCACATAAAACCAAAAAAAAAAAAACAATCAAAGCCATTGCCATCAAGTTGATTCGATTCCCACTCATAGCAAGCCTACAGGACAAAGTAGAACCCATAGGGTTTCCAAGGCCATAAATCTTTATGGAAGAAGACTTCCACATCTTTCTCCTGCAGAGTGGCTGGTGAGTTCAAACCACCAACCTTTTGGTTAGCAGCCGAGTGCTTAATCACTGTGCCATCAGGGCTCCTTCTTTAGCACTGTAAATTATGAGAACTATAAATTATGAGTGAGGAGATCTGACTATTTGCTAATTTGAGACAGTTCTAGTAAAAGCAGTGGGTACTCACTGCAATTGCTCTCTTACCTCTATGAACTGACATCTCCATATTTTCTTTTTCTTCCACAGGATTTTCTCTCTTTGATATTTTATCATCCCTTGAAACAGGTACAGGAGCAAACCTGCGAGGTGCTGGTGTCTCCAAAGAAGATTTCTGTTTATCAAAATCCATATCTTCAACCTCTCTTGAAGGTGCTTTAATGGAAAATAAAGAAAATAATAAATTTAACTTAATTTTTTAAAAACTTAAAATTACATCATGGAAGCCCCATAGACACATCCAAACTCCCTGAGGGACTAAATTGCTGGGCGGAGGGATGTGGGGACCATGGTCTCGGGGAACATCTAGCTCAATTGGCATAACACACTTTATAAAGA